AAAGAATATAAAACTTAAACATTAGACATTATACGCTTCTTAATGAATACACAAAACACAGGCGATAGTCTAAAAAAATTGATGGGACTTTAATATAATTTTTGGATTAGCATCTTAAGTATCAGATATTCAGTAAACAAAGCACCACAGTGATTTATACTATAAAATTGTAACCAGCTAAACCTAGCCCCCTATCCTACCCAAAAAGTTTGAGGATAAAATATACGTTATAAGGGTTCAAATCTGTAACAAATGGGGAACATTAAATTAGAATGTTTGGGAAAAATATCCTTCAAAAAATAAAACAAGAAATATTAAAATAAATTCAACAATAATGATTGCATTCAGAGGGAAAATGGGAGCTGCCAGGGCATGAGTTCCATGAAAAAGTCTTCCAGAGAATGAGTAGCATCTCTGTCTTGGTATGAGCTGTCCTCAGAAATGTGTTTATCTCCAATGCATTAAGCTTGGTACATCTTTTCCTTAGTTATCTTTAATTTTTAAACAAATGGGAATTCAATAAAAAGATAAAATTAAAGACTATCTGAAATCTTCCATAATGTTAAACAAAGATTCGTGAAAATAACAGATGCTTAAACTGATTGTAAAACAAAGAGAGTGTGACATTTTCTTGGTGTATCTTAACAGCATTTCTTCTTTTTTTGCAAAAAAATTTCCCTTTTCTACATTTTCTGTCAAAACAAAAATAAAGCTAAAGAAAACAACAACTCTTTCTAATTTTTTTTTCTTTCTTCTTTTAATCTAAAAGATGGATGTTGATTTAACTGGGAAACTAAGCAGGAAAATTTTGGTTCGCGGGGCATGTTTCTTTTCTAGGGTTCTAAATTTGAAATCTACCATATTTGACTATATTATATTTGGTCTGACTTGCCCTGATTGTTTAAACATTCTGTGGAATTAGTTTTCTGAGTCATAACTGGAAATGTTGTATTGAATATTGCTTTCTGCGTATAGCCATGTTCAGAACAGAAAGACATATACTAAATAGAAGCAGAAATAGGAAAGTAAAAAGGAAAATTCTTCCATGTGTTTCAAGTGACAGAAAAATAGCATTTCAGAGGTTACTTGTCTAATCCCTTAGCTACACTATCTATGAAACTGCGAAAAAAAATAAAAATAAAAGCCATACAGGTGCAAATTAAACAAAAATAGTATACTTGATGGTTTGCTTTTGTAGATGTGGTATAGACTTCTTATTACCCAGGTCCTGTCTGAACTGCATCAAAGGCTGGGAAATTAACTATAAACTAGTAACTGTCACCAATAACCAAGGTACAGAATAAAATAACTGAAACTTCCTTTGTATTAAAAATAAGATAAAGGATTGAAAAGAAAAGATATATTTGTCAGTTCAATGACCTTACTGTATGCCAAGCTTGGGACTTAATACCATCCTTAAACCGATGGTACTTCCAAATTGTGGAGTTAATGAAGCTATAGTTATAGCAGAAGTATGTGTGTGTGTGGACTGAGTGAGTGAGTGAGCATGTATCTATGTAGTGTGTGGAGTGTGTGTTTACAAAGTTTAATGGATATAAATATAATATAATCACTTATATATAAAGAAAATTGATATCCTCACAGACAAAGAAATGCTCATGTTGTTTGCCTTGGGTAGCAATTCTACCTAGAAATTTTCTTTACTTTTATTTTAACTAATCAATAAATCCTATGTTCTTTATAGCTGTTAAGTTAAATTTTATTACTAATGCTTTGATGATTAATTTGTATCCCATGGATTATTCAGAGGGCGTTTTATGTCTGTACAGTGTTTTGTCTATGCAAGGTGTTTTTGAAGAACTATGTTTAACTCATGGGTCAGTTCAGCAAGGAAGTGAAGTCTAAGTAGACAGTCTGTCCAACCAGTTGGTTAAAGTAAAACACAAACATGTTATAATATAATAACATACAGTGTGTGTTATCTGATAATGTATAATCAATAATTTAATTGCAAATATTATTTGTAATTAATTATAATAATTTTTATTTATTATAATATTAGGAAATAGAATTGCAGTCTCTGGCCATGATGGAATTGTTCCTGGAATCACCTAATTTAGAACCCATGACTCACCAGTTTTGTCTCACTGTTCCACGTACCTTCCACCATTTTCAAAAGGGAACAAGGCCTGCCTTCTCAACCTCATTCTCTTCCACACTCCTTGTTTGTGCCCTAATGAGAGCCCTTGTTAGCCATCAGTCGGTTAGGTAATCACTCTAATTTTAGGCTTATGTTCATGTCTAGTTTTCAGATGAATTTATATTCCAAATCAGAGTGAAGAGCATTTGGAAGGGCCCACATTTAGATATATCTGTAAAACAAACCTAAAATCTTTTGAAACTCAAATACTTGCACTTGTGCTGTTTCTAGTCATCTTGAGTCTATTTAACATACTATCACAAGTGCTGAGCAAGTGTTGATAATCCCTTTGATGAGCATATTTAAAGCTGGGAAAACGATAAAGAAAAGTGAATCAATGTTTGTTTGCAAATTGATTGAAAGGAACATACATACTGTGCTGGCTTAAGACATGTGGCTTTGTGCATTTCTCATTCTTTCTAAGGTTGGCAATTTGGTGTGAAAACAAAACTTATCATAAGCAAACTATGCCAGCATACAGACACTAGGAAACTTTCCCCAATTAGACTAATTTCCTGAGCCCATTAATCTTAGACCATTTTATTACATTGCTGGACTATAAAATCAGAATGCTAACCTCTAAAAATCATGCTATGTGTTTTATGTTATGTGTGAAAGTCTGGATAGAAATATGAGTATACAATGAAGCTTGAGGCATTAAACAGTAAAAGCAATTCAATGTCTTAAGTGTTATGGGCAATTACATCATTTTGTCTTAAACATAACCATCATATTTCTGAAGATGAAAAAATGAGTGTCTTTTGTTTGGCCTGCAAATGATTAATCCTGTAATGCCTTTCGTAAGTGCATTGCACATGTATTTGGGTGTGTATGTGTTCATGGCCGGGGAGTATGCAAGTATGTACCTATCTCTGTGGACACCAGGGATCAAACTTTGCTGTCATTGCAAAAGATGGTTTTCTTTTTTCTTTCTCCTTCTTTTTTATTTTTATTTTTTTAATTTTATTTTATATTTATTTTTAGTTACAATTTGTTAACTCTGTGTCCCAGCTGTATCCCACTCCCTCATTCCCTGCCCCTCCCTCTCCTTCTTTTTTAAATTTCAAATCATTTACTTTATATCTGAAGGGTTCCCTCCTCTTCTCCCAGTCCCCCCTTCCTCACCTTTTTCCCCAGAAAAGGGGAACCCTTCCCCCATATCAACTTTTGTATCAAAGGATGGTTTTCATTTTTTCTTTCTTTGTTTCTCTTTCTCTTTCTTTTCTTTCTCTTTCTTTCTTTCTCTTTCTTTCTTTCTCTTTCTTTCTTTCTTTCTTTCTTTCTTTCTTTCTTTCTTTCTTTCTTTCTTTCTTTCTTTCTTTCTTTCTTTCTTTCTTTCTTTCTTT